TATTAAGCACACTTTCCCTTTCGATGTTGCATTTGTCAATAAGTTGTGTTGTAAAGTGAGAGATGGTGGGAGGGAGGGGGATGTGAAGCCTTGTCATCACTCTTTCGATACGCCACTGATTCTGCATTGCTTTGCCCTGAGAGAAAAAAACCCCACCATATTTCCAGTACTTAAGTAAAAAAAAAAAAAGCGAATGAATAGAAATGAATTAAAAAGAGAATCATTTGCTGCTGGTGGACATAAAGTAGGCAGGCATTTCACATGGCGTTCTCCATTTATGGAGCCCTTGTTTGTGTTGCCATGGTCATGTTTATGACGGGGAGTGCACGTAAGTAGAAGACTATTTGGTCATCATTCGAGCTACTCTGCACGCTTACACTTACACTACTTCCATTTACAGTTTACTTTCCTAATACCATATCAAATAATTACTTTTAAGCAAGGCACGAATAGGTCTAATAGTTCTTTAAAAATCCCACCACTAATAGATTTGTATACAACTTTATTTGAATGATTCAAATATTGAGTATAAGATGGCCATGGCGTAATTTTAATTTTAAAAAAAACAAAAAAAACATAGAATTAAACGTACTATTTGCTGTATGTTAATGAATAAGACTTGATTAAACACGTCTATATGTTAGTCGGTCTTCGTGCAAATAAACCATAGCATGGGTGTGAGGCCTACATGTACACACATTTTTTTTTTAATATGTAACAAAACAAGAACAATGCCTCGGACAGAGAATGGTATAGAAAAGTAGGCCAACAGTAAAGTGAAGGAAAGTTGGTATCCTTCCGTCTTTGCGAGAGGACGGAGTAGCTATTGACACTTCATCAAATGGCTTAGGCCGACCCTGGAATAGCGGTCTCGGCTGCATTCCTCGCAGGAGAACATTGGTTCCTGGTTAAATTTGGCCTTCCGTGTTGCTCTTTGTGTTGCAAGGGGTTCGCGTTGCGCATCTTCAGCATTTTTTACTCTTTCATACACCGCTGTTCGCATGTCGGAACGGTTTACAGCGATGATGTCGCCATGCGTTGATTTCTACATTGGCTTCCCTCATGCTCCGTTTGCAAGCGTCCTTAAATCACAGCCGCGGCCGACCATTAAGTCTTACCCCCTCTGCTCTCCATACATTAGATCCTTTGCATTCTTGCATTCCTGCCATTCTCCTTCTATGGCGCAACCAAGAAAGACGCCTCTTGCTATGAGCGGAAGACATGCTACATGTTTTGGCACGGTCCAAAACCTCTGTGTTATAGGAAACTTGTCCTACCATCAAATGCACACAATTTGACGCAGACATCTTTAGGGGAAGATGTTGAGTTTCAGCTCATGACTAGCATAAGTGGTCCACCCTTCACTGCCATATAGGAGCGTACTAAGCATACATGCCCGATGTTTAGTTTTGGGCTCTCGGTTAGTGTAAGATTATTCCACGCCCGGTTATATTCAGTTTAGCCATAGTTGCAGCTGCTCTTGCAATCCTGATGTTCAGGTCTTCGTCAACGAAGAACAGACGGTGAGCCTAATATAAACTACAAATTGGTTATGTACTTAAGTAAAGTTTGTTATATATTTACAATTTTAAATTAAAGTGTAATAAATTACGCGCGTATAATATAATATAGTATACCATAGTATAGTATAGTATTAGTATATTTTATGATAGTTTTAAGAGCACACTAGAGAAGAAAAGGGGGTGGGGAAGGGGTCGTTTTTGTATAAATATTTAACTTTGACGAAAGTACGCATTTGTAGCATCTCCTGGTCTATTTTGTCTGTAAAGATGGCTGGGCGTTCTGCCTACAACAAGAACAGACATTTTCTGCGTGTTCGTCCCGAATGGAGTCAGCTTTCCTAAAATTTAATAAGGACTTGGATCTATTGTGCAGGTCAGTTTGTTAGAGATTACTTTCATTTCAACCACTCATTAAGGAACGTAAGTGTTCCAACACAACTACGACTTAGAGGCTCATGTTCTATGTAAAAGTTCACGCCCAAATGGGATATTTTATAATTACCTGGTATATAAGTGGCCCATACTTTTAATGGTGTCCCCTGAATGTGACCGCGGAGCTTGTTTTAGAACCGCCACAGCAGTGCTTCAGCTGTTATTTGTTTCTGTCGTCACTGACCTTTTCATCAACTTATCATAATTTGGCGGCAGACTGAATGAGTGTGGGCGTGTGTGCTTCTAAAAAATAAACGTGGAATAGACTTTCTTAGCGTGGTAAACAGCCTCACAAAGGTTGTGAAGAGCGTTCCAAACAAAACAAATAACCCACACAAACACACACAAAAAAACAACAAAAAATGTGTGAGAAAACGAAAATAAATATTATCTTTATATATTATAATATAGGTTATTTGTATCCAGTGGATTATGAGAAAAAAAACAAACAGAAACCAATGATATAAGGGAGTGAGATTGTGGAGCTCTGTGTGCAGTGTATTAAATATTTGTAATAAAATTATCAAAGCGGATATATTTTGACCTTGCAACATTCCTTCTGAATTCGGCCTTGGTGCTTATTCTCCATATTGACTTGAGAGCCAGATGACGCCATTTGATCTGACATTAGAGCAGTTATATGTATATATATATATATGTGAGTTTATGAAAATGGCATTGTAGAGTTTCCAATAATATGAAGCCTACAATTTTAAAAAAACAACTTAATATTCTCTTAATATCATGTGTTCAATCAGTGAAATGCTGCACTATCTGACCTGTGTGCAGGACACGAACTGGACCTGCCCGGCTGTTGCCATATTCAAGGACAGGGTCTTCAGAGACGCAGTGGACAATGCTCGCAGCTATTTCAAGACATACTGTAAGTAGGACTTCCGGTACTGACAGAGTTGGGATAGGATCTGGTGATGAAGGACTGATATCAGTGAGCGTAGGGACTTCCGGTAATGACATAGTTGGGATTAGATCTGGTGATGTAGGACTGATATCAGTGAGTATAGGACTTCCAGTAATGACAAAGTTGGGATAAGATCTGGTGATGAAGGAGTGACATCAGCGAGCGTTGATTACTAAATTAGTATCCATGACAAGGACCTTGAGATACTCTTTATTTAATTATCATTTTCAATAAAACTTTAGAATTCCATCAAGTAATATAACGTATACTTTCATTGAATAGAGTTTTCCGGGTGATGATAAATATTGTATGTGACGTGAAACCCCTGATATCCATTTCATGAACAAATCATAAAATGAGCAATTTCAGCAACTGCTTCAAATGACTGTCTTCCCGTTTATTGCAATAGATCCAATTCACACTGCAGGGCTGATACAGTGGCGTTGGAAAAGGGGGGATTTATAATGGTTCGGAAGCATTTTCGGCCCACCGCATAATTTTTTTTTTCGTGGAAACTTTGGCTCTAACCCTAGTAACGCCACTGTAATGACGCTAAATCCTAAATGAGACGCGAGGTGGTGCGGCCAGGCTCAATGCCACAAGACACAAGTCTCAATAAGACGGGCCTGATGTGCACGTTTAATAGCACCCCACCATTATTTCTTCCTTTTGCTTTTGGTTTAAACCACAGGTCCCAGCTTCGGCCCGAAACTCGGCAGCAGCTGTTCACATCAGACGGTGTCAAACCTGATGCAGCATTGCATACGCCTCGTGGACAAGGTGCAGGAGAACACCCCCAAGGACAGAGTCTGCAAGTGAGTCATGCGCTATATATAGCGACGGGTTTACTAGTTTTCCTGAGCTGTCTCCACGGCAACACACACACACATGGAATCAAAACACGGAGGAAGTGTTTCCGACAGTATGAATCCATGTGCTTTCCAGGTTTCTCAAAAATTTCAAAGAGGAAAAAATGATTTCCATTGTTTATGTAGGCTTAGATACTGTTGTAGCGGGTCACTGTACGTTTTTTACAAACAAATATTTTAGTGAGCTTCACTCTCTTCTATCGTTGTAAATCAATTCACAATGCTTACATATTGAATATATATATATATTGAAAATTACGTAAAATAATGCGTACACTAACCTCATATATTAAAAGGGAATAGCGTTAAAAGGGAATGGATAGTACAATTTAATTTCATTTGTCCTCGTCTGAGATACTCAGTCCCACTGTGATATCCATTGTTTCCAATATTAACACAGGATCCAGGTGAGGTATTCGAACTGCTTGGAGAGGGCCACCAAGGTATGCCACAGTGACCCTGTATTTCTCAGCTACAACGTCCCTCAGGCCCTGGCGAGTACCAAAGCATACATCAAAAGTGCCTGTAAGATAATGTGGTGCAGTTTGTTACATTGCTATTCATTTTTTTACTGCTCTTAGACTTACGGGACATATTCGGGTTAGGGTCTGTTATGAAATGACACAAATTAAAGCACAAGAAAAGATCGCCACCTTTGTAAAAAATATATTTATCTAGTACCGTCTTAACAGTAAGTTTGCCCGTGGGCATGGTAATGTGCGTAGCCCCCCCCCCCAATTCATATTAATGTATACACAATAATAAGATAAAAAAATCGGTGCTCCTGGGCAGTGCCAAGATTGCCCCATGGTCTGATACGGCACTGGTGAAACTTGAAAGCTGATCCGTGTCATGGGGGCATCAACATTTTAATTTTAGTTTTTGAACACAACGTTAACAGACTTGACTTTGAGAGAGGGTCGAGGGAATGAATTATCCTTACTGGCCTAGAGTTACCCAATTATTTCGATATGATGACGTCATCACCCGTGTCACAGACAATGTGTGAAAAGCTTACGAAATATCGGGAAGGCGTTATGTGTCGCTGTTCAATGCAATTCTTCCGCCAATTTTTTATAGTCCAGAGAAAAATTATGCCTCTTGGACCAGGGACAAATTATATGGGAGAAGGAACTTTTCTTAGTGTCTGCTGCATCAGCACCCTTGAGGCGGCAGAAAATAGAATACACTCCCTTCCCCCCTCCCTGCTTCAGACTTACATGCTTTTGTATTCCCAGGCAATGATGAGATGCAAGCCGACGACAGCCGCGTGTTTACCGAGAAGCCACCCACTCCGTCTGCGGGTGGACGACTCACTACGAGAAAACCGAAGCCCGCGGGGCGAGTAACTCCGGAGCGGAAAAAGCCGACAACTCAGTCCGCGATAGAGCTCACCACCACCAAGGGACGACAACTCAAGCCCAACGGGGCGGTGACTATGAAATGGAATAAACTGAAAACGACCGCATCGAGTCTGTGCTCGGAACGAAACGTCCACAACGAAATGAACAAGTGCTCTCTGCACCTGGAACAACCGCCAGAAGTGATGGACAGAGAGGGATGCAGGTAGATGTGGTTTGGCCTTCATTCTTATTACATAGAATATGTGAACATGTAACCTCTATTGCAGTGGTTTTCAACCTTCCTAATGCCATGACCCTTTAACACAGTTCCTCATGTTGTGGTGACACCCCCCCCATCCCCCCAAAACCATAAAATTATTTTCGTTGCTACTTCATAAATATGTGTTTTCCGATGGTCTAAGGCGATAACTGTGTACGGAGCGTGCGACCCTCAAAGGAGTGGGACCCACAGACTGAGAACCTCTGTTATTGTGGATTTCACCCGTATTTAAAGAATACCTTACCAAAAACTCTGCAATGCCTTCATTTTATGATTTTATTATAGGCTAAATTGTTTGTTTGGGGGGCGGGGTCATTTATATGGTAATCTTTGTAATGCTTGATCAAAGGCATCAGATGATTTTAGTTGCTTCAATTTCAAGGAGAAAAATGCCAACGTTTTGTTTTTTTGAGAAGTTTTAGTGACGTAAATTTTTAATTTTAACATAATTTTTTATTCTTATTGTTCTCTTCAAATTTAAACGTGCACTCTATAGTATACGTAAGTATGGAACAAAATAAAGCCATGTCGAAATTGTTCTAAATCTTTGCCTTCATGTTACCTCAGATACCAGCGCAACTTTCTACAATGCCTGAATCGTTTGATGAGAAACTGCCCCGACGTCACTGGAAACTTTGATACCATTCTAGCCGTGTCACAAGAAACGTTTGACATTCTGTGTAAGTGTTATACTTGTGTTTAAAAAAAAAAAAAAAATGGCGTTTAGAAAACTAAACACTACCTTTCTGAAAGGAATAAGATGTCAAACAAAATAAATTAAAATTTTTTTATTTATTTTTTTTTAATTAAAAAAAAAAAAAAGATGGCTTTTAGAAAAATAAACACTGCCTTTCTGGAGGGATTGAGATGTCAAACAAAATAACTTAAAATTTTTTTATTTATTTTTTTTTAATTAAAAAAAAAAAAATCAAAAGGCATAATAATTTTGAATTGGTTATTATAACATCATAAACAATCTGTATTAATATAAATTTCTAGCAATTAAAACCTTTCCTTGATGAACATAAACCTTTTCAACCGTAACAACAAACAACACAACCGAATGGAACAAGTACTTTAAAATTAAATATATAACCAGATCGATACCCATTTCAAACAACTCATTCGTAACGCTATTTAACTCTAATAATTAATGACCAACACTGCTATAAATCAATGAAGAAAACTTTGAAAACTTACCGCAAACTGTGATGAGGGAAACTAAACATATCTACGTTCTTTAAAAAAAAAAAAAATTACAAAAAAAGAAACAACAAAATTAGATCGGAAAAAAAAAAAAAAAAAAAAAAAAAAAAAAAAAAAAATAAATAAACCCCCCCCCCCCCCCACTTTAAAAAAAAACAACAAAAAAACAAAACACCGGAAGTGGTGATTTTATGCTTTAAAAAAAAAGAATGTTAAAAAAAAAAGTTCAAAGGTTTTTTGTATAAATTGTCTCAGAGATCTCCTATATACCTAAAAATTGGACCAGTTTTAAATATTCTTTTTTATAATCGTTCCTGTTAGACATTATTAGCAAAGAGCATTCATGAAAACTCCAGTTTGTTACTTCAGTAGAACAGTTTAAACTAAATTCAAATAATTCTACATTGTTTTAATACCAATCAATCAAGTTTCGCAAAGGAAGCCCGGCAGTATGACATGGAATGCGCGGTCAGTCATCAGAATCTATTTCTTTGACATCTATTTGAACAGGTTGTCGGGGTTCCTACTTCCTCATCTCACATCTCATTTTCTTTTGGTCCAATCACGACTTGGATACAACCCATAAACAAGGGGNGTGAGGAGGGGGGGGGTCTAACGTTAGCCATCATTTGAGCATTCGTCGGTTGTGTGTCATTTGTTAAAGTATCTAGACACCATTCCGTGGGGGGGAGGGGGGGTGGGGGGGAGGAAGGGAAATCCAGCTGCAAGGGTTGTCAAACATTCGGAATGATAAACGGATTAAATTATCCACTAAAAATAGACAGTGTTCTTGAACTGGCATTTCAAAACGGGACAGGCCGTCTTAATGCCAAACCTTGGAAACGACTTAAATACACTAATGTACCCTCTGGTGGTACATGTACGACAGAATTTGAGAATCGAATCTCTGTGCCAATTTTTTTTTTACTCTCGTTTATGGTGCGCTGCGTGCCGTTGGGGTTGTAAGTAGCCATAAACTTCGCACATCCGTGCTTATCAAGACATTCGGGAAAACGTGTGATGTTTCCCAAAGAACGGAATGGAGGATATGGGGCTTCAAAATGGAAAGACACGCGGGCCACGAAGCAAATGGAAAGTTCAACCAATAGCGTTACATCTATTGGTGAGCCATCAATAGGAAACTTTTGATTAAAATTAGCTCAAATGAATCAGTCACTTCGGTATTTGACCTGATCGCCCTGCTTAAAACATGCACATAAATACATAATAAATGCCAGCGTTTTTTTTCTTTCTGTTTATTATTAAAAAGTTATAATCGTCAAAGCTGCGGTGTTCGAGAGAAATAAAGCATCTCCAATGTTTCCCCCTGCAGTAACAATGACAGGGACCCGAGCTAGATAGGGGCCCGAGTAAGATAGGGGCCCGAGAAAGATGAGGCCCGAGCCAGATAGGGGCCTGAGTAAGATAGGGGCCCGAGAAAGATTAGGCCCGAGCCAGATAGGGGCCTGAGTAAGATAGGGGCCCGAGCTAGATAGGGGCCCGCCCTTTTTCGAGTTTTAAAAAAAATATACGCACATGTTTGAAACACGAAAGGGGCTAGAATTCTGTCAGCTGCCTGGGCCCCAGAATTTCCTAGGCGCGGGCCAGGAAGACTGACTGATCTCTTCTTTGACTCTCTCATGAGGTGGAAGTTAGCTACTGCGGATTGGAAGAAAAAAAAAAGAAGAAGTACATTTTTAAATGATGAAAATAAAATGTTTAAAAATAAAATTTAAAACCAAAAACGTTGACATGTGCATGAATAGACGATGGGTTCTAAGAACTTCAACATGTTTAGTATCACCTATGTATTTAAATGGTGGCTTTTTTCTTTAAATAATTTTTGTACTAACGTTGTCCAAACGGCCAGCGGCGAAATGGACTGGAGGCGAAAAAGCCCGGAGGCGAAATAGCCCGGAGGCGAAATGGCCCGGAGGCGAAATGGCGTGGAGGCGAAATGGCGTGGAGGCGAAATGGCCTGGGGGCGAAATACGGTCGGTGAATCACCATAGATCCCGGTAAGCCAAGATATTCGGTTTGGGTCTCTAACTCAGAGAAATATAAAATTCACCCCCCCCCCCACAAACTGCTAAAAGTAGGTCCAACTATATACTGATCATTGTTGACAAAAGATACAGTTCTACACGTCATGAGCGAAATGGCGTGGAGGCGAAATGGCCGGGGGGCGAAAGACGGTCGGTGAATCCCCATAGATCCCGGTAAGCCAAGATATTCGGTTTGGGTCTCTAACTCAGAGAAATATAAAATTCACCCCCCCCCCCCCACAAACTGCTAAAAGTAGGTCCAAATATATACTGATCATTGTTGACACAAGATACAGTTCTACACGTCATGGACGAAATTAAATTATTGTTATTATTTTTTTTTGGTGGAAAAGTGGAAAGGGGGGGGCACTTATTTGAATACCGTTGTCAATTATAAATTAAGTACACATGTATAACAAATTCATCCCTCCAATGCTTAGTTAATAACGCAAACCTTGCCTCGTGAAAGTAAGAAGCAGGAACATTAACGCGCCTGTTGGGATTCCCCAAGTTGTCGTCACATCGGGACATCCTTAAACCATGATCAAGGCCGAATCCAGAGCAACGATTGTAAGCCTCACTTTGAACATTTCTTGACACAGCAACTACGTCCGGAAAAAAAAAATGTAACATGATTATTTCACTACGGAACCATCATTTCCAATGTTAATACAGGATCCGGGTGATGTATCCAAAAAGCTTAGAGAAAAAGGGCGTGGGGGGGGGATGAATGACTAACTATGATTATCATCCCATTTTCCAGATCGTGCGCCGCACTTCTATAATCTTATCATTTCCTGGAATACGAGGAAGATGTTTTTTGTTTTTGTTTTTTTTTTCATCTTCATCGAGGATAATAAACTGTGGATAAAAACACACCCCAAAAAAAAAAAATAATATATAACTAAAATCCGATAATCCTTTGTGCAGACGATGTGGATCTTCAAGAACCGGAGACCAGTTCGCGGCGTCGTCACTTGAATGTGAAAGGCAGCTGAGTCTATAACAAAATCTTCTCGTGGCGGGCTTGGGCGCCCGCAGGTAGGGGCAAGGTGGGGCACTTGCCCCCCCCCCTGGATTGATTGGATAAAAAAAATTATAGACAAAAATAGACACAAAATGTATTAAAGTAAAGAGAAAATAAAGGGAAAGTAACTAAGATGATGCCCTGTCCGTTCGTTCACCATACAAATACGCTACAGTAAATTAAAATTACATTAAAACATTACTAAAATTTGTTTGCCCCCCCCCACTGGAAAGTTAATCGATTTTTTTGCCCCCCCCCCCAGAAAGTTTTCTGCGGCCGCCCATGGTGGCGGGTACGTTGCCAATGTCACGTTGATTTAAGTCGGAATTAAAATTGCTGTTTATATAATATCAACATTTGCACCTCGGTATACGTCCTTAATCCGTTCCAGATCCTTGGACGTATACCAAACAGGACGTATGCCAAACGTAGTTTTACCATAAGAAATATAGGGAAAATGATTCATCCGTTCCCATGATAAAAAAAAATCATATTGTTATTGGCATATTATACATTTATTGATGCGGTTGAATGAAATAATTTAAACATTGCTTAATACTAAAATACATAAATAAAAAGAACTTAGGTGAAATAAATGAAAATTGAACCTCACTTTACCTTGGTGAGAAGAGTCAAGTGCTTACTAATATGGTGCTGAGAAGGAGGAGATGTTATTGTTTTGAAGGAGAGTCCGCGTCTATTAAAACTTCAGGAATATTGCATTCTGTTGCTTTTTTCTGTCTCTTTTCCCTAGTTGACACTGGTTGAGGCTCATCAGGTTTGACTTTTACTAAAAATCTGTCTAAAGATGCTTACTTTTGATTTATCCTTAGGATGTTTCGAAAATGTGACATTCTCTGGTCATTCCAGCCAATGCTATTACGACTTGTTTGGGCTTTGTTGGGGTGGTACTTTTCTGCAAAGTTTTTGACATCCATCCATTTAGCAAAGATTTCCTCGATTGATGAAGTAGGATCTTCCTCTATCGCCTCCTCCTCAGAGCCTGAAGAGAGTGGATCCATCCTAGTCTTTGCGCGATGTGTCATTTTGACACATACAAGTTGGAGCACGCATGAGGGTCTTACACCAAACGATAGGTCGTATACCAAATAAAATGTTTCTCGTCCAAACAGGACGAGAAACATGGGATACATGAGTTCCTACTCTTTAGGGTTCATGTACTGTACATAGTTTTAGGTTCACTTAATCCAGTGGGTTTCGACCTTCCCAATGCCGCGACCCTTTAATACCGTTCCTCATGTTGTAGTGACCCCGCAACCATAATATGATTTTCGTTGCTACTTCATTAACATTTGTCTTCCAATGGTCTCAAGTCATTAATATGTGTTTTCCGATGGTCTTAGGCGACCCCTGGTGTAAGCGTCGTTCGACCACCCAAAGGGGTCTCGGCCTACAGGTTGAGAACCGCTGACATAATCCGTTGGGGTGTGGTAGATTGTGTGCCAACAAGAAAGAATATGCAGACATGTTAACATACTTAACATAAATTAGTATGTAAACAATTGTGTGAAAAAGTGTGTGGGTATTTAATGGGGAGCAAAAAGGGAGATTGACAAGATTGTCAGCTGGCGAAGCCAAAAGTACGTAAAGCATTGACTGCACCAAAACTACTTAAAATCCAATCAACAAGATGAATGGCATTTCTGTTCATTTTCTTTAAAAAAATATTAAAAAACGGATGTAAGTTGATCTGCTTAAACTACAGAGGAATCTCCCTCTTTCATGTAATGTACAAAATCCTTACAAAAATTACAGTAAGGAAAACTGGAAAGGGCAGTGAACAGATCCTAGGGGACTATACCAATGCGGATTCCGGCAGAATAGGTCAACCACAGATCCTATTTTGACTATTAGATGTCTCCTGGAGAAATGTTACGAATATAACATCGACATACACCAACTATACGTGGATTACAAAACAGCATATGATAGCGTAGACAGGAATTACTTATACAATGCTCTACAAGAACTTGGAGTTCCTAAAAAGCTTATTCGGCTCATACATATGCCGATGGCCAACTCCAAAAGTAGAATCAAGGTGCAGGGAGAATACTCACGGGAGTTCCCAGTTAATCAGGGCCTCAGACAAGGAGATTCACTATCATGTATCCTGTTTAACATCAAGCCAGAAAAAGTTATTAGAAAAATACATGTGGGCACCAGTGTAACCATAACAAACTACTCCCAGAGAGGTATTACAGAACAACAACCATATGGAACCTCATATACCCAGCCATTGCAGTATCTGGCATACGCATACGGTATAACAGTATTGACATATTTAAGCATTCAGGGAACGTGAAAATGCCTCAGTCAAGGCTTGTCTTGATGTAAATGAACCGAAGACAAAATATATGATAATGTCACGAAACTCCCACGCTGATGACAACATCAATATAAACACCCACAGATTTGAGAGAGTGGCTGCATTCAAATATTTAGGGGCAACTATAAACGAGCACAATGTAATAATGTCGGAGGTTAAAGAAAGGATAACAGCAGGCAACCGTTCCTATTTCAGCCTCCAAAGCTACTGGAAAGCAAAGACCTCTAAAGGGGAGCAAAGGAGACAATATACACCACTATCAAAAGACCGGTAGTAACGTACGCTAGTGAGACTTGGACCCTTACCAGAGAAGCAGAGAACTTTCTCAATACATTAGAAGGAAAAAGCCTCAGAAAAAATATATGGCCTAGTGATAGAAAATGATGTCTGGAGATTCCGTACAAACCAAGAGCGATACCAATTGTACAAAGACCCACCCATAGTCACAACGAAAGTCAGACTACGCTGGGCAGGACATATTGAAAGGATGTCGGAATGTTGAGCTGCCAAAGTGATATACAGGCAAAAGCCTCGGAGCAGAAGACCCACCGGTTGCCCAAGGCTGAAATTGATCGACGATGGCGAGAAGGATTTACATCAGTTGGGGGTTTGCGCATGGAGGCAGAAAGTCATGGATCGATCCGAATGGAAGGATGTGGTGGAGCAGGCCAGGGCCCTACAATGGCTGTAGCGCCATCGATGATGTTCAGTTTCACCGCCGAAATGCTGCGACTACACCCTTGATCAAGTACCCTGGAACAGCTGCAGCTTGTGACACTCGGGCGGCCCTTCACGTTGCAGCCCTTAATTAACGAAAAAACATTATGTTTAAAGTCTATACCCAGAGAAAGTGAGCCTTATAACGTTAATGAATTGGGCCGCAAAGGCCGTAGAAAGGCAAAATAATTGCCTCCCTGAGCTGACCGACCCCACCAATCCCTTATTTCTTCTTCCGTGTTTACATACATGGACATAACTAAATACACAAATACATCATAAACATATTGTATAACTTACTTTGATGACATATTATACATTTATGCCATCCTCCAAGGTTCCCATGTGAAGTGCCCCTCGGATGTCATTGACAGTAGAGAAGACATTGTCAGTTTCTGTATGAAAGATATTGAGGACTCCTCGCCGTCGACTGGGGACTATTGCAGGTAATAGATTATTTTTTTCATATGTTTCAAGGAATGACTTTTTAGCATGCAGGCCCATATTGATATGTGTATCACCAGCTTCTCTCCCGACGGTTATTGTAACGAGTATAAGTCAAGAGACATGAGTTCCACATTGTGCTACAATATAAGTCAAGAGACATGAGTTCCACATTGTGCTACAATATAAGTCAAGAGACATGAGTTCCACATTGTGCTACAATATAAGTCAAGAGACATGAGTTCCACATTGTGCTACAATATAAGTCAAGAGACATGAGTTCCACATTGTGCTACAATATAAGTCAAGAGACATGAGTTCCACATTGTGCTACAATATAAGTCAAGAGACATGAGTTCCACATTGTGCTACAATATAAGTCAAGAGACATGAGTTCCACATTGTGCTACAATATAAGTCAAGAGACATGAGTTCCACATTGTGCTACAATATAAGTCAAGAGACATGAGATCCACATTGTGCTACAATATAAGTCAAGAGACATGAGTTCCACATTGTGCTACAATATAAGTCAAGAGACATGAGTTCCACATTGTGCTACAATATAAGTCAAGAGACATGAGTTCCACATTGTGCTACAATATAAGTCAAGAGACATGAGTTCCACATTGTGCTACAATATAAGTCAAGAGACATGAGTTCCACATTGTGCTACAATATAAGTCAAGAGACATGAGTTCCACATTGTGCTACAATACTAGAACACTTTGAGACGTTTGCAAGAGATATAAGTTCCACACTGGGTTACTATACTGGAAAGCTTTAAGAGGTTTGCACGAGATAAGAGTTCCACGCTGTGTTACTATACTAGGAAACTAATAATAGAGAATAAACTACTTCTTTTGAAAATGCACATTAAAATATTTTTTTTTTTAGATTGAAATACCTAAGTCCGTTAATGTTTCTATCAAAGGCTTTACAACGAGTGGTAGGATAAGGTTACTTAAAAGTTTTACAGTATTACCATCTAGTCTTGGGGTTTGTGACACTATGGCGCTACTACGAACTTGTTTGACACCTTTTGTCTTCCTCGTTCCTTCGGATGTTCCCTCTGGCAACCTTCACAAAGCCTGAACAAACCAAGAAACAACCGTTTGGTTGGAACTATCTTATCATAGCTGAGTTAACAGCTAGCAACTGCTCCTCATCGCTGCTAGAAGCAGACGTCAAACATGAAGCGAACTTTCGAACAACATTTTTAAACTAACAGAACTAATTTTTTTTTTTTTTTAAATTTGATTCTTCCCTCGAGAGATGTTAGCAAATAATTGACAATGTTGCCATGTTTACAGAAAACTGTCAGAGGTTCCCAAGTGCGTTGAGAAGTTGCGACCCATTTGTCCGCCCCACCTGGACGCTTACCGGGTGGACGGTGCCCTGAGCATGCTGCAGGCCATGTTGAAACAGAACTGTGAGTTGTCAGTTTGTCGTGACGAGATTGTGAGGCCCCCGGGAGGGCATTGACCCTCTACTCAATTCAGTCCCTATATGTAGAGTTAAATTCGTTGGCTCCGAATTTTGCAGCATACATGTTGTGATTTGTGGGGGATGTTCTGGAAAATATTGTAGTTGTTAAGTAATACAGGACATTGTCTTCATTTCGCATTTCAGTTATCTTACCGACTTATTAAAACATCGCTAATTGACATCTTTTATTTTTATGTCAGGCAATGTGAGAATACGATGAGTGCACACTCAAAGAGCAACATGAGGCAAACGGTATTTCTTGACGATGTAAAAACAACAAGTTCTATCAATGATGAAACCTAGTGCCTTCAGGAGCAGTGCAGAAAACAAAAAATTTACAAATACATTCAAGCATTGTAAATTTATTGATAAAACTAAATGATCTGAAACTAAACAGTTTCAACGCTAATCTTGGAAAGAGAGTGTCTTATCCACACCAATGAATCCTTTAATTCTACTGTGCTATCTGTAGGTTCATGATGTAATACCTGTATCTTTAAATGAGTTCATTTTCTGGCCTTGGGAGTGCGAGAGGGAATGGAGAAAGAAGAGAGAGAGAGAGAGAGAGACAGAGAGAGACAGAGAGAGAGACAGAGAGAGTGACAGAGAGAGACAGAGAGAGTGACAGAGAGAGACAGAGAGAGAGAGGCAGGGAGAGAGAGAGAGAGACAGGGAGAGAGAGGGAGACAGAGAAAGAGAGAGAAAGAAGAGAGAGAGAGAGAGAGAGAGAGTATACACGAGACTGATGAGATTAAGAGATAAGTTGACTTATAATTTTGTTCGTGACAGGGAGATATTTGTAAAATGTCTTTAGCGTAGAGTTTCCTAGACGTAATTATCAAATACTGATATTGTATAAGATTGAATTAATAAAAGAAGATATTAGTAGTTGAGTATGTAGTAACTGTTTGTGGATAAGTGAAATAATGTATAATTACTTGGATTTTGTTAGTGTACACAACATTTATTGATAAAAAAATTGGCCAAACTCTCCCACAACAACCCCCCCCCCTTCCCCAACCTCGCCTTGACCCTCCCACCGGGGTCAAATTTTGATTGCATGTCTAAAATTTACATCATTACATTCTCTGCCAGTCCCTTTGATTTGAAACTTCGTTTTTAACCCATGCAACTGCATGCTCAGTTAAAGACAGCTACCGTCAATGTTATTGAGTGAATTAAAGAGCACAAAAAGGGAGGTAACTCCCTTTTTGTATTGACATGTCACTGGCGGATTTTTATCCCTTTTTATCTCCCTTGAACCAGCTAATTGCGTTGAGGAAAAAAAAAAGGGGGGGGGGTATTTTAATTAAAACGTTGTTTACATTTAGTTGTAGAACAACCTTGTTGCGTGAATGTAAGAGAACATCATTTACTTATCCGTTTTACTCTTTACATCTGCCTTTGTTCAACTCGTTTCGAAAATCCTCCTCCTGTAATTTATACAGCATCGTCAATACCTTCATTCATTTTTTTCTCTCTCTCTCTTCTGGTTCCTTTCATTTATAATACACATTTTAAGTCATTTAAATTTGAATCAAAATCGAAAATTTCTTAACCATTTCAGTCTCCCACAACAATAAAGGGGGCTTATTCATTAATATAAGCTGATAAAAATCTTGAAATAAAAAAAAAAATGTACACTGACTGAACATTTATCAAATGTGTTTACTTGATATATTTTTTTATTTAGAAAAGTTCGTAATTAGGGGTTGAGGGTTCTCACGCTGTGGTGATGTAATTTTAAAGAGAAACACCGTTGAAATACTTCTTAGGAAATGTTCCAATCTCCCAATCTTCCAATCTCCCAATCTTCCAACCCTCCAATCTCCCAATCTTCCAATCTCCCAGTACCGACGATGTTCCAATAGAAAACAAACTTAAATTCCTCATTGTTAGCCGTCTCAGGTGGGGGAGAGGTGAGGATTTAAGATCGTTGAAAAACTGCCCTGGATACCGTGGCCACTCTGACCTGTATGGATTACGTGTTGGTGGGAGGCTCGGTGGGCCATTAAATTCTTAGAAGGAAAAAAATGGATTTCGAGTTCAAACAAAAAACAACAATGAAAAAAACAACAACAACCAAACAAACAATGAAGACACAAACAGCTTAGTTATAGTTGCCTTTAACTTGTTGTTTTTAACTTGTTGTCTTGGAAGTCTTAGGGCATTAAAAAAACTAAACAAAAAAACCCCCCAGATTATTTAAGCCTATTATTAAGAAGGTTATAACGTAAATAAAAAAAATTTCCATGCATCAATGTCAAACAATCTGATTCTGATTGGTCTGATACATTGAAAATGTGCTAAAAACTTAAATAAGATATAATTTCAAGATTTCACTTTAAAAAAATCAAAGTTATAAATTTTAATTAATAAATTAAAATCACCCAACGGGAAATGGGTAAAGACCTTCAAGTTTGAGAACCAGTTTCGACTCGGTGCACAACTTTAAACCATACACCAAAATCTATGTAGCTATAAGTATAAACGTTTTGCAATAAAATAAAAATATAACAAAATGTACAATCCAGCTGCAGTAATATATTTTAACATATGGTGTGTTGTGCATTGTGACTACAAGTACAAATCTTTTAAAATTAAAAAAAACAAGGAAGGAGGACACTTTTATTTATTAAATTTTTTTTTTTATTCTGCAGGTCAAGTTACAAAATTCTGCTGGTCAAGTTAATAAGTTCTGCAGGTCAAGTTAATAAATTCTGCAGGTCAAGTTATAAAATTTTGCTACTTCAAGTTAAGAAATTTTGCTGCTTCAAGTTAAGAAATTCTGCTGGCCAAGTTAAGAAATTCTGCTGGTCAAGTTAATATATTCTGCAGGTCAAGTTAATAAATTCTGCAGGTCAAGTTAATAAATTCTACAGGTCAAGTTATAAAATTTTGCTACTTCAAGTTAAGAAATTCTGCTGGTCAAGTTAAGAAATTTTGCTGCTCAAGCTAAGAAATCACGTGCCTCAAAAGACAAGACAGCAGCCGCTCTATTTTTAATTGATGAAATATTAAATAGAAATTTGTTGAACTGTTCATTCACCCCACACACTTTCCCGTGTGGCCAATATTTGTCGTCGCCAGAACAAAGTCGAGACTACCTTCATCTGAGACATAACGCTTTAATTGTAGTACAATGACGTATGCATTTAATGAAATCTCTCATAGGTAACATAATTTGTTAATGTGTGATGTCACCAATGAGCTCAGATGTCAAAGGCGTCACTGATAGCCCGGAAGCCAGGAAAAGTGCATATTTGAAAATTAAACTCATTCATCTACTCGCCTCTGCTCCTCAGAGAAACAGTGCTACCTATAGCACGACTTTTCTGCTGTTCACCCATTGACACGTGACACGGCAAAGCCACTGTCTTCCTCTAGAGTGAATCCCGACCTCTTATTTTGTGTCGCAAGTAAGGGGCATTCATGAATGAAGTTGTATCTCGCGCTATCGTTCAAGCTTCATGACGTAAACGTAAAGTAAAGGGTTAGCAAGTAGGTCGGGGTTCTCGGAATTCTAAGAAAAATGACAAGCACGCTTGGTTTCGCTGTAGCCTTAAAGGAGTTAAACCAACCCCGTTCTGGGAGAGAGGGGTTCTTCTAAAAGGTAAAAAAAAAAAAAAAATTCGTTAAGGGTGAATCATAAACAGACATGTTCAACCCCACCCCTCCCCATTCTGTTTCCATCACCCTATACGATACGCCCTATATGCATGATATATTATGAGTTGGTCATTATATGGCCAGTAGGTCTTCTCAATTCTAAGGGGCCCAATATCTGTATGCACTGCAAGTAGATAACGAGTGCTTATGAAGGACAATGCCCAAGACGCCTCCCCCCACCCCACGAAACGCCTTAATCGAGACCTTAAGTTTAAGGGGCACTTGTGCGGCCCGCGTCATGTCAATTTGCATTTTGAGCCTGGATAATCCATCGAAATCAAAGGTGAATGGCAAGATTCGCGGAAATGCCAGACTGCGGCTACAAGAGGGCTAGCGATTAAATAACCTTGCATGTGTCATAGATCAAATTATGTTAAGTGAGAATCCCAGTGTTTCCAGAGGGGGTGGCACTGGGAATAGTCTATTAGTAATCATTTAACATTTCTGGGGAAAAATATTTATAGACAGGAGAGAAAGGAAGTATTCAAATTTTTTTTTTTTTAATTTTAAATGAGTCAAAGCGTTACACAGTCATAATAATAGCATATTCTAACAATGCAAATATTAATGACAATTTTAAAATGTTCGCGTTTTATTTGCAGGAGTACTCTCTTCTTTGAAGTATCCCCCTCCAAGTAGGAGTGTTGAATCCTCTGCCCCAAATAGAAGTGTTGAATTATCTGCCCCAAATAGGAGTGTTGAATTATCTACCCCAAGTAGGAGTGTTGAATTATCTGCCCCAAGGAGACGTGTTGAATTATCTGCCCCAAGGAGAAGTGTTGAAATATCTGCCCCAAGTAGGAGTGTTGAATTATCTGCCCCAAGGAGAAGTGTTGAAATATCTGCCCAAAGTAGGAGTGTTGAATTATCTGCCCCCAGTAGAAGCGTTGAATTATTGTAAACACATTTTTAATACAACTCTCAAGGTTGCAGCTCAATTCCTATTATCAGCTCTTGCGTTTCAACAAAGATGTTGATATGTTTCCCTGGACATCACCATAATGAACGAAACATTTTTTCCCCCTAGAAACCAATTTCACATTTATCCTTATCTGGGTTTTACTGTTTATCATTATTATGTTGTTTAAGCAGGCCAAATTCTTCGACTATTTCAAGTTTCTCGACCTTTGTCATCTCATTATGGAAGCGGTGGCTTAGCCGGGGCGAGCGAGGGAGGGGGGGTGGTGGTCGCAGTCGGAGGATATTTTGTTATCTGTAAATTTAGGGGAGCATTTTTACCCTCTTTACGCCTATATTATGTTCCATGTTATATGTAACAATTGTATTGATGCGCACAGTGAGGTAATAACAATGACCAAATCTATTTCTTACCGTGTCATAATTTATCAAGAGGTTTGAGGTCATCAAGGAAGTGATTTTCTCAACGCCTCTTCTAACTCTTCGGTAATTTTAAAGCGGAAAAAAATAACAATCTATTTTTTTTTTTTGGTTAAATAATCGTTCAAATTGACATGTTTCTTGTGAAAGCCCATCTATTCCAAACTTGAACTTTGGGGGATCCAAATTTTAGAAATCAAGAGGTTTGAGGTCATCAAGGAAGTGATTTTCTCAACGCCTCTTCTAACTCTTCGGTAATTTTAAAGCGGAAAAAAATAACAATCTATTTTTTTTTTTTTTGGTTAAATAATCGTTCAAATTGACATGTTTCTTGTGAAAGCCCATCTATTCCAAACTTGAACTTGGGGGGATCCAAATTTTAGAGGGAGAATAACCTAAATTCGACAGTTAAACACGACAACGGCTTAAAGTAAAGTGCCGTTATCTAAACCACATTAAACAGTTCAAAACAACAACACTGAACA